ACTGCGAATTTTGCAGAAAAAGTATCACTTTACTTGGAGAAAAAACCAGCACAAAATCAATTGTCACATTTGATGAAAATTATAAGAAAAATCTGACATCAAATGTGACACATTTTTCGGCCACATTTTCTTGTGCGTCATAAATTGAGAGTGTGCTGAGGAGGGTAAATTTGTCGTCGAATGTGCTTTACTATCGAAAGAATTTAAAAGAGGGTATATGTGTGCGGACTGCAACCTGCTGCATCAGTCTAACCACATCCCATGCTTTTTTTCCTTTTTTTTTTGTTTGTTGATGTGTCATTTGCCTCTCCGTGCGTGAAATTTCCCCACTCACTCCAATCCCCAATTCGAGTGTCTCTCTCATTGTGGTTCGATGGCACCCAGCCGCCCCACCCCACCCCGCCGAGTTAGGCCCGCCCTCCATCTCAATGGGCGGTGCGTGTGTCGCTGCGTTCCCCAGGGAACTAGAGCACTGCCCCCTCCCCTTCCCCCCTCACCCCTTCCGTGACCGAGCTTTTCTCCTGTCACTTGCTTCTTTTGTTCACCCTTTCGTCGACTCTTTCATCCTTTCTTATCATTCTGTAGTTCTGCTTCCGGCTCTTTTTCCAGCTTAACGCTTAACGCTATTCCGTTTGAAGCGATTCTTTTCCAATGGTGCTTTTGTGCATTTTTTTTTCACGCGTTGCGATTCAAAAGGCCTTTTTCAAGAGTGATGGTGGGATGATTGAAAAACGAACAAATCCGGCAGGGACAACCCGAGCAGCTGCACTGCCCAGGATTGCCACAGATCCGGCGACAACCAGGAAAACTACTCAGGAAATTTCAAAGCACCTCAGCGAATCCAAATTAAATTGAGAAAAATTGTTCTAGAGACCAAAATTCAGGGCATTTTCAGGTTTTATTTTTTAAAAATGGGAGAATTTGTAGCAACCCTGGTGCCGCCTCGTCGCCACGTCACAGAACGGCGCGTCTCTGCGTCATCGTGATGAGTCCGCTTTCTGCCTGAATAGCGCGGCCCGACCGCACTCCCGAACGTGACCGCGCGACCGAGCCGCTACGTACACTAGCGGGAAATTAGGACAGAACCGATTTTTCCCCAACAAAGAAATTTAAAGCGTTTTTTTTTTTTTTTTGTAATCGGTTGAGTTTCTGTACGCAGTGAGTCGGAGTAAAAACCTCAACTAAACTAGCAAGATCTCGAGCAAGATAAAACTTACGAAAAATCTGCTTCGAAAAATTTCCCTTATTTCATCTTCTTCAACGTTTCCTGTCCGGAGAGGGGGAGAGAGGCACTGCTAGGACGCCGCGGTGGTACAGGTTAGCCCCTCAGACTCCTGGCAGAACCACAACGGGATAGGTACCGGTGCCGCGCTAGCGTGACTCGCGCCCCCACCTGGGCCCCTAGAGGAGCGCGGCGTTGGGCCCCTCGCAGCAGTTCGGCTGGAGCCCCCCCCCCCTCCACCCGGAATACTCCTCGATCTGCTGCCCTTACACGGCTCTGCAGCCCGCCAATCCCAGATTTCTCATGATAACTGCCATTGCCGTAAAATCCCCCTTCCTTACCCCCCATCCCCTTTCCGGTCCGCGAGAGAGGGGATTTTTTTTAGGGGGTGGGTGCAACAACCACCCCGCGTGACCATAGGCAAGCTCAAGGAGTTTGCCGTGGCCTTCAGGACGACGTCGTCCTCCTCCAGCAGCCTCCCCCCGCTGCTCCGGGGACCCCCTCGCCTCCGGGCGGCGCCGGCTCCGCTCCCCTGGCCCGCCGCCTCCCGCACGCTCGCACCGGAAGTGTATTGTAGGTCCCGGAAGCTGCGCGATTGTTGGTCGGCGGGCCGTCAGGGTCGTCGCTCCCGGCCAAGCTCGCACTGGGCTGCGGTCTCTCTCTCTCCCTCTCTCCCCCTCTCTTCTATCTCTCTATCTCTCCCTCTCTCTCCCTGCCCCGCACCTGTTTCGCACGCCGATCGCATGCTGCTATAGGGCTCCAGGCACCTCGGCAGAAAGGACCATACTACAGCCGACCAGCGCAAACGCGCCAAAAACTACGAGCCAACTCCAGTCCGGTCACCACGCCGAGTTTTACTCGAGGATTTGAGGGAATTCCCATGTACGATACGCCTAGAAACAACAACAGCTAATTTGGCCAGAATTTTTATTTTCAAAAAAATGGATGGTGCTCAGGATCAGGACGATTACTTATTAAATTACCATATGCGTCACCGTAATCTGAGTTAGAAAATTCTAGCAATTCGACAACTGTTTGGTTTGATGTGTTGCTAAAACTAAGTAAGTGCAAGCAGTGCACTTATGGGCTCATACCAAGTGTTGGGACAACTGTTTGGTTTGATGTGTTGCTAAAACTAAGTAAGTGCAAGCAGTGCACTTATGAAAGACGCGTTACTGTGTTCTTCGGGTCTGGGTCTTGTTGCTGGGAGAGGGGGGGGGGGGTGTATGGAGAGACGCGTGCGGGGAGCTCGTCATCAGATGAGTGTTGCAAGCTGCCAGTGTGGGTTGGGAGGCCTGTTTGGGTGACGGTGGGTGACAGGTGCTCCATGCTGTGACGGGCCACGCACGGGGCCGTACGCCATACGCGCACGACCGTCCAGCAAAAACGTCACCGCCCAGAATTCCCTGTTCGAAAATTTTACGCGCTTTTTTATACTAGACTGTAATTATTATTGATTTTATCACATTTTTCGTGCATTCCTCTCTCAAAACAAGGGCAAGTATGTTCACGAAAAAAATGTACAAAAGTCAAGAACATTTTTGGTGGCGGAGGTAGGGGGTGGGGGTGCTTCAGATGCTACGCGACGTTTATGCTTATACGCGCTTCAGAAATGCACCATGCAATTTTTATCGATTTCGCCACATTTTGTTCAATGTCGGTTTGGGAGAGGCTGCGTGATTAAATACGCAAAGATTTCATACATTATTGGCGGACTTTGGTTTTGGCTGTGTGTTGCGGAGTGGCCATGGCCGCCGACTATATGGCCGCTGCTCATCAGAGGCGATTGACATTGAATTTGCATTCGTACTCCGGCCATTCTGCGCGCACGCGTGTGGCGCGTAACGCTACGCTGGACCGACCGTGCCGGCATATGGGCACGCCGGTAAAACTATTTGCTTTATTTTTACCGAAGTTTTGACTAATTTTACCAGTTTTTTTTTACCTATTTTAACAATTGCTTTTTTTGGAATTGCATTGCATTAATTTACTAATTGTAGCAATAAACCAACAGATTTTCTCGCCTTCTACTCATATTTACCCGTTTTACCTAGTTTTTACATAATGTTTACCGGTTTTCACCCATATTTGTACCGACTTCCCCGTCGACCCGTGTCGCCCCTCCCTCGCTGCGCCACGGGGTCAATGAGCTGACCCCGCCACACGTGTCACGGGCGTGGCTCTTGTGTGGACATCGATTGGAAATGGACCGCATGCCGCTGTCACGCGTGTCACACTCACAACACACACGTGTCACACACACGTGTCACACACATGTGTCACACGGCCGTGTCACGCGGACGCACCGCACCCTTTTATTTGTACCGTGTGGGAGTAGGAAGCTCATGTCCCAGCTTTGAGCCGAGGACAAAGGCATAGGCAAGCCGCAGCAGCAGTGGATACTTGGAATCACTTTCGCGTTCTTAAAAAAAATATCAAGAGCAAATCTTCTCTACTAATGCGCTTGCTTTAAAAAAAAAAAAACGTTCTTAACTTCACGACAACAAAACTTCACAGTCATTTTTTTTAACAGAAAGCAAACGCGCACGTTGATGGTTGTCCTCCAACTCCGCAGGAAACGTGCTTAGCACAGCGAGGCGGCTGGCGGTAGCACTTCTCTCGCCGCCGCATAGCCTTCTGCGACCGGATTCGGAATATTTCATTTTATTCCACGCCTTTTTTTTTTATTACGTTGAGAGGGGGAGGAGAAGAGAGATGCACGCTGCACTGCAGTGACCACACACTCACATGACCTTGCTGCCCGTCGCACATACAATGCAAATACCAGTCGGCAATGAGTGTCTGGTCGGCGGGGTCGCCGGGGGTGGCCGCACCGCACCGGCCTTGATCCTGGCGGAGGGGGCAACCTCTCTCCCTCTCCCTCTCTCTCCCTCTCCCTCTCCCTCTCCCTCTCTCTCTCTCCCTATAGTTCCTACTCGTACGCGCGCACAAAGACACACTCACAGTCGCACACTCTCCCTTGCTCTCTCGCCGTTTCCTGTGTTGGGATTCGCAGTCCGCGGCCACAACAGGGAGGCTCATATCCAACGCGTTTTATTTATTATCGGTGCCAAGGACGTTTGCGGAGGGAAGGGGGAGGGAGGGAGCTAAAGCTCATTTTCGGGCCGCCGTGTCATTTGCATTGCTTGATTGCTGTGTCTAGTTTATTTGCTACGCTACTCACACTCCGGCCCTCCCAGCGACTATCTTTTTCGCGCCAAAAAGTTAACCCATTTCATTTTTATTTTTTGTATTTTTTTTTATTTGCACTCTGTGCAAATTTGGTAACAAGAGTTATGAGTGGTATACGCTGCCGTGCGTGAAACTTGGCCACAGCACTCTCCCTACTCGGGCTTGTTAAAAAGTTGGGTGCAATTCGTGAGGCATACAGCCTTTCTCGCTCTGCCTCGCCGGGTGAAAGCGGAGCGGACCGACTGCGGGGGGGACAATCACAGCCGCACACGATTCAATGTGCGATACACTCTGCCGCATCACGCGCGGCGGCACGGCCGCCAGGAGAACGGGAATGTATTATCTATATTATTTGTATGTATTATACGCTCTGCGTTTGCGTGGTTCCCGGGGCGCACGTGATTTATGTAAAGTAGTAGAGGATGTTTTGTTGTGGGTTTGCTGGAGAAAGAAACACGCAAGAAGCTGCCCTGGACTGTTGCAAATTTTTTGCATATTTTTTTCTGATTAAAAAATAATAATATTTTATTCTTTCTTCTGATTTTTTTTCTTTTTTTTTTTTTTTTTTTTTTTTTTTTTTTTGGGGGGGGGGGGTTGATTACAAGCCGGGTTAAGCACTCGTCGGCTCGCTTCATATTCTGGTAGAGACAGTCTTGGGGACAATAACAAGAGGCCTACGCAGGGCGCGCCGCCGGTCCGTCCGTCTCGTGGAGGCCGCTCTTGGCGCCTGCGGTCGGGAGCGTCGGCCGCCCGCCCAACAGCAGCGTCTTGAGGCGGTCTACGCCGCGGCCGTGAGGCGGTGCTGTCTGGCATATCCCCCCTATGCGGCTAGCCGGAGCTCGTATAGCTCTCTCTCTCTCTCTCTCTCTCTCTCTCTCTCTCTCTCTCTCTCTCTCTCACACTACTATTCCTCGCGTTCCAACCTGGGAGACCTGAATGCAGGGCGGGGCAAGAGAGTTGTTTATTTCGATACATCGAATAACACGGTAAAAGCTGCAGCTAAAGGTCGACGGATCTGAGCTCAATATTATTGCGTCTCCGTTTGCCTCAAAGTATCGTAGTCGTTCGGTTGTAACGAAGCAGGCGGCAGAGGACGGACATGTCGTACCTCCTCCAGAAGTGCGGAGGACAAAAGTTTTTTTCTGCATAGTATACGTTTTCTTCAAAACATAAACGCGCTCTTTCGCTTTCTAGAGGATGCGTCGGGTTGGCAGGGCCACACAGCCAGATGGCCGTGAGGATAGCACTCTCGCCCGCGGGCCCTGGTCAATGCTCCCCGCACAACGCTGTCACTCGGCGCGCTCTGCTCTTTACGTGTACACGCCAAAACTAGAAAAATGTAAGACTAGGCAGCAAAAATATTAACAGCCGAAGTGATTTAAAAAGAAAAATACCAGCTGTGCAGTAAAGAAAATTGTCAAGCAACGAAAAGATTGTAAATAAAATAATTATTGTTGGTGTACTAGGTGAGGCCAGGTAGAATTGTTGGGCCTGGCCAGCTAAATAAAAAGGTACCCAACAAAAAAAGGTGTATTGCTAACTGATGACGCAACAAGTGTCAGTCCTGCCTTTTATGAGTCCCGGTAAAAGATCTTTTGTTCATTAGTGGCAAAACTTTTAAAAAAACACTTTTCATAATGAATCAGGAACACTCTTCTGGTTCTATTTGTTCGAGCGAGCAGGGGAGTGTGTTGCGAAACAAAATCGAGTTTTCCTCGAAAGGCTCGTGGACCGCAGCACAGCAGGTATAGGTATGTGGCTAATGCAGGAGCTCCCCCTCTCGAAAATGCAAATGAGCGGAGAATAGCGCGATAG